CAGCAACAAATGTTGGAGAGGCTGTGGGAAAAAAGGAACCCTTCTCCACTGCTGGTGGGAGTGTAGACTGGTGCAACCATTATGGACATCAGTGTAGAGACTCCTTAAGAAACTAGGACTGGAAATCCCATTCAATCCAGCTATCCCCCTACTGGCAATTTTCCCAAAAGAACTGAAAACATCATATCATAGTGATATATATGCACCTATGTCTATAGCAGCACAATTTGTCATAGCCAAATCTTGGAAGCAACCAAAATGCCCATCACCTGAGGAATGGATGAAAAAGAGGTGGTATTTTTATACAATGGAATAATACTCAGCTATAAAGAAAAACAAACTCAAAGCTTTCATAGCTAAGTGGAGAACTTGAGGCTATACTCATAAGTGAAATAAACCAGACAATATCATATTGTCTCCCTAGTGTAAGAACTTACAAAAGAAATAAAAACTGAAAGGCATAACAGACACAATTAAATGGAAAGAAACAGAACTGCCCAAAGTTGGTGCCCAAGGATTTAACAACAGAAAGGAGAAAAGTTAGGAAATAAGTTAGAGGCAAAACCATACATGTATATTTACAAGATGGATAAGTCAATAGTCCTAAGAATTTCCATCAGGTTTTTAAAAATAGCCATTAATGGGCAGAATTCTCACTGTGAGTAACTATATGTTGATATCTATAAACTAAGCAACTACACTGAGGACAGCAATGAGTAATACTAAAACCATGCTTGAAATATCTGTCATCTTGGTCTTCTGAATGTGTACCATTTCTAATGTCATATTAAATATTACTATACTGTCTTTAAAGTAATTTTTAAATAAAAGAAAATGAGAGACAAGAACAAAAATTTAAATTTCTTGGAAGCATGTGGTAATATTCAATTATATGCCCATCTTGCATAACTATATCTGTTAATCTGAGCAACAGATTTCACCGTGAAAACAGATTATATATCAATCACTGTTGGTCAGATATTCTTGTTTTGAAAATCTGTAATGTGTGGGGCCGGGGAGATGGCTCAGTGGAATAAGCGCTTCCCTGGCAAGCGCAAGGGCCTGAGTTCAATCCCCGGTTCTGCCAAAAAAAATTTTTTTAAAAATCTGTGATGTGTGTATTGTTGCAAGTTACCTTGTTTCTGTCTTAGCTTTTGTTTTTCTTGCTCTTGCTTTTACTCTTCAAAATAAAAGAAAATTGTAAAAATAAATAAAAAATAATAATAAACAAAAACAATCCCACCCAGTTGGAGGACCAAGTCAGGTGGGTCACACATTCAAGGCCACCTCGGGCAATTTAGAAAGACCAGGTCTCAAGATAAAATCATACTAAGCTAGATGTGGAGGCTTGGGCTACAAAGTGGGTTCAATGCTAGTCTGAACTACATAGCAAGACCCTATCTAAAAAAAAAAAGAAGATAAAATAAAATATAAAAGATCTATGGATCTAGCTAGCTCAGTGGTAGAGCATATGCCTACCAGGCACGAGGCCCTGTTCAGTTCTCAGTACCAGAAATAACAACCAACAGCAAGAGAAATTTTGAGAAATCCCTGACTGGCTCCTTGAGTCCCCCTCCCTGGCCCCAACCCGGGGGTAGAGTGAGGTAGAGAGGTCCCTATGCACAGACGGCTCCAGGGCTCTGACTCATGCGTGTGACCCCAAGAATTCTAGGTTCACAGGCTTTTGGCACCCAGCTCTGAGTGCACAAGAGGCTTCGGGTAAAAATCTTCCACGTGCTGATATTAATTAATTTACTGTATAATTAGCTTTTTAAAAAATAGCTCAGAGGTACATCTGGGACACCCCAAAGTTAGGACTTTTCTTTGCACACCTGAGGCCACCCTCGGCGGCTCTACAGCTGTCATCATGCCACAGAATGAGTATATTGACGCCGCAAACGCTATGGATCCCCCTAGGATCACCATGAGAAAAAGAGAAAGAAGGAAAGCTGAGAGGCTCCTGAAAGCTCAAAGAAGGCAAAAAAAAAAAAAAGACTGGCCTGAAGGCTGAGCTCCACCACAAACAGAATCATACAGAGAAATTACAAATGAAGAAGACTATCAAGATGCATGAAAAGAGAAACACCAAACAAAAGAATGATGAAAAGCCTCCCCAAGGAGCAGGACCTGCCTGCTCGCTGCAGGGAGAGGGACAGTCTCATGCAAAAGTACTTTCCAACGTGATTAAACAGAAACTAAAAGAAAAGGCAGGAAAATGGAAAGTTCCTCTGCCCAAAGTTGGTGCCCAAGGAGAAACGGAAGTATTAAAAGTTATTCGTACTGGAAAGAGAAAAAAGCATGGAAGAGGGTGGTTGCTAAAGTCTGCTCTGTTGGAGATGGCTTTACAAGAAAACCAGCTAAATATGAAAGATCCATTAGGCCAGTGGGCTCATGTTTTAAGAAGGCCCGTGTAGCACATCCTGAACTGAAAGCCGCCTTCTGCCTGCCAATAGTTGGTGTGAGAAAGAATCCCTCATCGCCACTGTGTACAACTTTGGGTGTGATTACCAGAGGAACAGTGACTGAGGTGAACGTGAGCGAGTTGGGCCTGTGACGCAAGGGGGCAAGGTGATCTGGGGTCAGCGTGCCCAGGTGACAGCAATCCCGCAAATGATGGACGCATCAGCGCAGTCCTCCTAGCCTGACAGGTGTTTCATAAGTAACTTCTTACACTTATTGAAGACTACAGACTAGGCAGGAAAACCATAACTTGAATTTCGCTGAACAACTCTCATGACTACATTCATCAAGAAAACTATTTATTAAATTGTAAAAACATTAAAGTGGCCCAGTTTTACAAACTGGTCTTTTGGGGCCAGAGAGATGGCTCAGTGGAATAAGCGCTTCCTTGGCAAGCGCAAGAAGGGCCTGAGTTCAATCCCCAGTTCCGCCAAAAAAAAAAAAAAAAATTGGTCTTTTGTTAGGGGTCTGCTAAGGGCTTATGTGTTTGTGAGATAGAACCATTTGAAAAAGTAAGCATAAGTCTCTGCATTAAAGAGCGGGCGCTCAGCAACACAGATCTCTCATTCCTAAAAAGACACCAATATTGAAAGTCAGCGCAAACTTAGTTTAGGGGTCTAGGGCTAAGAAAACTGCTGAAGTCTATTTTACCTCATCATTTACAGTAGTCTTTTTTTTTTTTTTTTTTTCTGTATTAGGGTAGGGTCTACAGGGTGTTCAGGATCTCACTACGTAGATTGGACTTGTAGTGATTCTCCTGTTTACAGCCTCCCAAGTACTGGGTTTACAGACGTGCACCACACGCCCAATCTCAGCATGCTCCGGGAATGGGGCTGGCACGGCACATGGGGGATCGAATCTCATTAGTCTTAAAAATAAAAAAAGTAAAAAAAAAAAGTAATGTTTAAGTTTATTTTCAATATAGTCTATTTATAATACTTTAAGAACGGCATTAGAAGTTTATTTAGAGAACTCCAACTTAGTTGCACTGATGTCCTGCAAAGAAACTTTATTTGCAGTTAGATAATATAAGATGGTTATATGTTAGGTGTGCATCTCAAGTTTTGTGACCTGAATTAAATGGTTATGGCTTGAAAAATTTTAAAAACTAACTAAATAAAAATAGCTCAGAGACAAGTGAGAATCAGGGAACTTGGCCCAGCCTTGCGAGCTCTTTATTTTCCAGAAGGGCTAAGGGCTGTCAGGTCCTTGGGCTGGCGCAGCGACACGTCCAGGGTGCTCTCTCAGTCACTGCGGGCCTCCTGCCAACTCACTTGGGGCAGCCCAGGCCGAGGGCCAGGCTCCTGAAAGAAAGCACCACCTGGAGAAGGCAGGTCACCCTCCTCTGCGCAGCCCTCACCCCAACCCTTACCGCCGCCCAGATGGTGCTGCACCCAGGGAGCCCAGGGATGGCGTGAAGAGGAACAGGGTCAGGGACACAGGCTCTTGCCACTCTCTCTTCCACAGGCAATGTGGCTTTTTATACCCAAGAGCCTATGCAGGGGGCCCAGGCCTGACAGGCTCTGGGAGCAACAGGAGGGCGTGACAGTAAGGACCAAGACGGTACAGAAAGGCAGGACATGCAGGGAGGCAGGGCAGGAAGGGAATGAGGGCGGCACCAGCGCCAGGAGCGCAAGGGAGAGGGGGGTGGGGGGCAGGCTAGCACACACCCTGACCCATGGGGTGCTCTCTAAAGGGCCAGGCCTACAGCCCGAGCCCTCTGGGGCAGGTGGCATCTTCCCCAGGCCCCCCTAAGGGCCGGGGGAGCTGCTGTACTTACTCCTTAGGAATCTGCTTTATCCAGACATGATGTGCTTGACAAAGGCTGGGGGGAAAGGAAGGCTCAGCCAGGTACTGCGCTGCCCCTCAGCGCAGCACTTCCCTGCCACCTCCCTCCGCGCTTCCCTTCCAGCCTTCCCGATACCCTCTCCCAGGACTGTAAGTCTTTCTCTTATTTGAAGGTAGCTGGGGGGAAGTAGAAGAGGGAACACACCTAAGTTCTGCTGTGTCTACCTCTTGTGTTGAAACTCAACACAGATGAATGAGCTGCACCATTTCTACAAACACCCACAGCCGAGAAAAGTGCTGGTGACCCCCTCACTGCTCAGGTGACAAGACTGAGGCTCAGAGAGGGTGAGTGACATAACCAGGCTCACACAGCTGACATATCACAGAGCTAGCTTCAAAATTTATCTTTCTCAAGCTGTGTGTGGTGGCGCACGCCTGTGATCCCAGCACTCGGGAGGCTGAGGCAGGAGGATTGTTGCGAGTTTGAGAGCAGCCTGGGCTAAACAGTGGGCTCAAGGCCAGCCTGAACTAGAGTGAGACCCTGTCTCAAAAAGACAAACAGAAAAAAATTCCTCCTCCTCCCACTACACCGGGACGTTCACTCCCAAGATGGGAAAGAACAACGCAGCGAGCCACCCACCCCCAGCTGATGTACACATCGGGAACCCCCAGACCCACCCACCCAAGCCCTGCCTGTGCTGGCCTCCGGGGCCCAGGGAGCAAGGCGCCCTGGTACCTTCGTAATTGATGCAGCCATTGGCATCTTCCTGCCCGGACAGCAGCTGCTCCACTTCAGCTTCGGTCATCTTCTCTCCTGGGATGGGTTGGGAGATGATGGACGCGTAATTCCAAACAGCAGATAAGGCACAGGAAAACCAGGGCCCCTGAGACTTGGGAGCTGGGGCGTTCGCGGCAAGCCTCTCCCACAGGCTTCAGCCGGCTGGCCCGAGGGTCCCGAGGCCCTGCCCGCCCCCGAAAGCTCCCAAGCCCTACCCGGCGCTACAGCTGAGGCAAGCCAAGCGCAGGAGCCCCCACGCCCTCAGGTCTCAACACGATCCTGCTCTGCTGGCGCCTCTCGTGGTGTTAAGCCCAGTGCTGCCCAGCAAGCCCAGAGGCAGGAGGTCGCTCTCCTGAGCTCCGGGGTGCTCAGCCCGCCACAGAAGGTTGGTCTGCAGCCCCCACCCCCGAGTGGTCTTGAGCGGTTCTGCCAACGCTTAAGCAAAATGGGAATGAGGCTGATGAAAAATAAAGCAATTTCTAAGAAAAGTAAATAAATAAATAAGGCCTAGATTAGGACGTGACCTGACACCTGAAGACGCGACCTGAGGACGGCGGGGATCACCAGCTCCCTCCGCGGGCAGGGACGTCGCCTCGGCAACCCCCAGTACCCATCCCTCCCACGCGGGCCTCGCTTCTGCCCACGTGGCATACCCAGGGTGGCAAGGACGTGCCGAAGCTCGGCACCCATGACGGTGCCGTTGCTCTCCTTGTCGAAGACGCGCAGCCCCTCCACGAAGTCTTCGTAGGTGCCCTGCTCCTTGTTGCGGGAGATGTGCTGCAGGATGGGCAGGAAGGTCTCGAAGTCCAGCATCTTGGCGCTCATCTCTTTCGGCAGCCATGGAAGGACAGAGAAAACAGCGCGAGTGGGTGGGTGCTCCAGGGCCCAGGCGGGGCATCCCCCTCCGGGCAGATCCAGGGCTGAGGCTGTCGCTGCTTCCAGACCGCCGCCCAGTCGTGACCCCGAGGGCGCAGAGCTGCCCACGGAGCAAAGAAAGCGGTGTGGGGCTCAGCAGCCTGGGGCGCTGGGCTCTTACTCCTACTGAAAAGAGCAGAACAGAAGAAAAAGGGATCCGGCACTGCACCCAGACCCCTGAGCTCCAGGTGGCCCGAGAGGCAGAGGAGCCCAGGGCGGCCAGCAAGATTGGGGGGCCAGAGGGCCCCACAGGCAGGCTTCACATCTACAGTGTAGACTCTTGACTTGTGACAGGTGTACAGTCACAGAGCTAAACTGGTAGCAAGGACAAAATGAATGTTGGCCTAAGGGAACAGCTCAGTGGTAGAGTGTTTGCCAAGCATGTGCAAGATTTGATGTGATCCCCAGCAATGCAAAGAATACATACAAACATACCTAAATTTTTGCATAGCTCTGCATTTGGGTACAGTACTACTACTAAGCCATACTTCCTAAAATGCTTGGAATCAATAGTTCTCATAAATTCCCATTCACTTGTGAATAGAACTATTTTCCCCCATACTGTAGTATGCTGAAAGCTTTCAATTGATTGTTTTAATTTATTTTTTATCTTTTTGAGACTGGGTCTCGCTGTGCAGTTCAGGCTGGCCTTGAGCTCACTTTGTAGCCTAGGCTGGTCTTGAACTCACAGTGATCCTCCTACCTCAGCTGCCCACGTGATGGAATTATAGGTGTGCACCACCACACCTGGCTAAATTGATTTTTTTTTTTTTTTACTCTTAAATATCACAAGGTTTGGCATGTATTTCTTTCCTAGACACTCACAAAGCTCCTAAGGTGGAAGAAGCCAAGATACCTGTTGGCTTGGAAGAAGCCCTGCTGACTGGCCAAAGCGCCGGCCCGCAGGACCGCTCCCGCCCACACTGCTCACCCTCCAACTACTGAATCTCCAGCTAGAGCAGAAAGGAAAGAAGCCAGACAGAGGACGCAGGCACCAGCAGAAATCCCAAGCAGCATCTACAGACAGTCCGGCCCTGCCGGACTCGCGCGTGGCCCTGCCTGGCCACTGCTTCGCTCTACGCCTCGGCGCTGTGTGTGCCGAGGCCGCTGCTGGCCTTAGTACTGCGGATGGCAGATAGAGTTGATGAGTAGAATACATATGCTCGCTAAACTTTCTAAATGCTCACACCAAAATCCGTCACATTTCGGTACAAATACACAAAAAAGGCCTCATTATGGAGCTAATTTTGAATCTGCTCTAATTTATATTAAACAAATAATTTAAATAAATACTTCCCCAACCTCAGTGCTCTAACCATTATTAGAAATAAAATGTGGGTTTTTAAAAGTTGATTTTGTTTTCTTTTTTTTTTTTTTTTTTGGTAGAACCAGGGATTGAACTCAAGCCCTTGTGCTTGCCAGGCAAACGCTTATTCTACTGAGCCATCTCCCGGCCCCTGATTTTGTTTTTGTTTTGTATTTAGTACAGGATCTGCAGGGTCTCACTACAGATGGGACTCGTAGTGACCCTCCTGTTTTCAGCCTCCCAAGTGCTGGGATTACAGGCGCACGCCACCACGCCCAGCTTCAGGACACACCAGGGATCAAGCCCCAGGCCCTGTGTCTGCCTAAGCAGGGTGGGTGGGGACAGGAGTCAAGGGAGACACCACTCCTCCACACTCCCAGTCACAGCAAGGGAACAAAGACCAATCCCAGCCATGTTTATCGAGGATTAACTGAGTGTCAGGGTTTCTAGGTAAGCTCTTAAAATAGCACAAGGATAGCCTGGCCCCTAAAGCGATAAAGGGCAGAAGAGAGAGTGAGGTTCAGGGGAGACCAACCCAGACCAACCCAGGACGCAGGGAACACAGCATACTAAGACTGCGTTAGCCAGGGGCCCACTGACCTTCCGGTTTGGGCTTGCCCAGGACACGCAGCACCTCGGCATTTGTGGGGTTCTGGCCCAGGGCCCGCAGCACATCCCCGCACTGCCCATACGTTATCTTCATCTCGCCAACTGGGGTCCGGTCAAACAATGAAAAGGCCTCTTTAAACTCTGTAGAGAAGAGAAGACAGTGGGTAGGGGCGGCCTGAACAGCAGCTTACGGCCACAGCTATACTCCGCCACTATTTGGCTGGGGGCAGAGGCACATGCCTGTAATCCCAGAACTCAAGAGGACCCCAAATTCAAGCCCAGGCTGGGTACCTTAATGAGACCTAGTCTAAAAGGTTGGTTTTTGTTTTACGTCTTACAAAAGCTCGAGATGGACTCGGTGAGGAGGCCCTGGCAGGGTTCAATCCCTAGTACAGGGAATTTTTAAAAAGTCAATGTTTCCCTGCAGCTTTCCTTGAAACTCACACCCAACACCTCTTCTGACAGGCGTGCCCTGGCGCCTCCAAGGCCCTTCCCTGCACTGGGCCTGCACGCTCTTCTGGCCATCAGTTGTTACACAACCAAGTGTCACCTCCGGCTGTCCCCTCATTCTTGCTGGTGTAGCTGAGGCTCCTGACTACTGGAAATAGCGGCTCCTGAGTTCTCTCACCTGCGTCACCCAGGGTCTCGGTTTCCTCAAGCACACAAGTGAGTCACTGCCCTACCCCAGCTCCCTCTCCAAAACCGTGAGTGTCAATGCAGGTGGCAGGTGGTGGGTGTGGAAGCAAAGTGGTAAGACCTGCTCAAAGGCGAGCTGTTGCCAGCACTGTCTGCTCTACTGTGCCACTGTGGCCATGGTCTGGCCACGGTCTGACCACGGTCTGACCACGGCAGCTCTGCCACTCACCTCGGCGTTACCGTGGCAGCTCCCAAGTTCTACGGGTTCCTGATCTCTTAGATTGAGGTGGGGGCCTGACACCCCCAAGGGGGCATCACAGGCATGAAAATGTGGCATCTAGGGAGCCAGCACATGGCAGTCATGGGCAGCCTAGCTCCCGAGCGTGGCCAGTGCTATAAGGACTGAACTGGCAGCATTGGAATCCAAAGGACAAAGTCGAGTTCAGGCGTTCCTGGGTCCTTTGCTAAGAACCCTTTGTAATTTGAATTCAGTCCCTTAGTGGGGATGTTCCTGACTGGGAGTGGACAACTTGCTCTATGATATTCAAAGAAAAGTGATTTACTAAACAGATAAACATATAAAGCAACAGAGAACATGGAAACAGCCTAAGAAGAAAGCTGTTTTTAATCCCTTCCAAGTACTTTAGAAATGCTTATTTGCTTAGAGGCCATATATGGATTATATACAAATTACATATCAAAACAGATTCTCCAAGTCTCTTACTTACAATACTTTACTAGGCATGAATTTAAAATAATATATAAATGTCTCCACATTAGTGAATAAATGATCTCAGATTCCATCTGCATTGCTTATCTGCTGTATGGTCTTAGGAAAGCAAACGTTTCCCTTCTATGAAGCTCTTTTGTAAGTAATAACTAGCTCATAGGTGATAGTCAGGCTAACGCTGTGATGCCTGAAAACGCAGTGACGTACATCCAAATCTTAGCACAGCGCCCAGCACGTCGTGTGATCACGACGTGCTGTAGCATCCGACTGAGCTTTAGCCCAGTTTTGTCACTTTGTGAGCTCGGGGATTCATTGTATCTCACCGAATCTCAACTTCCTCCTCTGTGAAAAGGAAACACATCCACCTCACAGCCCTGCTGTAAGGATTTCAGGTTTTCGGTTGAGGATTTGGGGTTTTTGATTCTTGAGATAGGGTCTTGCTGTGCAGCTCAGGCTGGCCTTGATCTTGCTGTGTAGCACCGACCTGGCCCCCAACTCACGACCTCCCTGCCTCAGTCTCCCAAGTGCTGGGCTTACGGGTGTGTGCCACCAGACCCAGCTTGGATTTTAATTTTTTAATATTTAAAAAAATTAGCATGATGCCTGCCACAAATTGCCTTCAATTAATATGTACTGATTAGCTGATTCTGAATTCAGATTTTCTAATCTTCTAACGCATTCATATATGCAAAGTCAGATTTAACAAAAGAGGCACTTCCCTCACCCAAGAAGATGGTAAATAAGACACGAGAATATGAAAGGGAAAGTAATAAGCAAATGACCTCCGATTTGAGCACTCGCCATGGGCCGGGCTCTGAGCTGGTAACTGCGTGGATTTCCTCACTGATCTTTACAAATACTTTAGACTATAAGTGTTGCTATTCTTAGGTAGAAGTCAATGCAGTTAGTTGCGAGTAGTAAGAAAAGCAAGGAAATAGTGGGTGGAAACAAAAAGATTTTTAAAAAACCAGCTTTCCATAGCAGCTAATGCTTCAAAGGTTACCTGGGAACTTGCTGGAAAGCCGTGTGCATAGAAAAGCCAAACACTGAAGTTTGGTATTTAGGAAAAACAAAGTGAGCAGTATGAGAGACCGAACACAGGTCCAGAAGAACCATTGCCTCAGTAATCTGTAATAGCTCGGTCAGCAGCCTCGGAGAACAGCACAGAAACCTGAAGAGGAGGAGGAGGTCAGAAGTGAGGAGCCAGTTCCAAAATCCAATCCAATCTGGAATGCACGCCTCTAACCCCAGCATTCAGGAAGCTGAGGTAGGGCGAGTACGAGCTTGAGGTTAGCCTGGGAAACTTAGTGAGTCTCTTCCTCAAAATGGAAGGAGAAGGAGGAGGAAGAGAGGAGGAGGGGGAGGAGGAGGAGGAAGAGGAGGAGAAGAGGAGAAGAAGAAGAAG